TGGGGCGACGGTGCGCATGCCCACAGAGAGAGGGCTCTGAGTGCCGCCTCTGGCACCCGTGCCATAGGTTCGCCACCACTGACCTAACCTATAAACAATCCTATAACACGTTATCAATGTTGTAGTGGTATGGGAAGATCACTGATTACTCCTGTGTTGGAAGATTTTTTGAGCAACTGAAAACCTGTAATTGTCTCCAGATTCCCTGTAAACTGGCCTTAGTTACACAACGGTTGCTCAAGGAGACAGCCCAGGTCATTGAGAATATGTTTTTCATTGATTGCTTTTATTTCTCAACTTTCTATGCTAGCACAAATTCAAGTCTCTGCTCCTCTCTTGAAAACAAGGGTGTAAATTCATGACAAATGCACAAAAATGGAAGCAACAGTCAACCAGTAGGAGGTACAGCCACATTTCCTTTTATTTGTAAGGTACACTATAGCACGTTCGGTCAATTACGCAGAAGGTATCGGTTGTAAACAAGGCAGTGAACTGAATTTTTTTCCCACGTCATTACAAAAGAAAAAAAAGAACATCATGTAATGTGTGGTTGTTAGCTACATGGCTGCATACTGCTGAATGCTCTCCCTTGTCATTGCAGCTCTGTGGTGAAGATATAAGCCCTACTATGAAAGGATACTATCATTTTGTATTGCTTTTTCTTAACATGATATGACCTGATTTAACAGGATGAATTTCTTAATTGTGTCTAGCAAAGCTATACTACTGTGTGTACACAGATGTTTGCTCAGTTGTGTCTGATAAGTGACTTCCACACTACTGTGCATGAAATCCAGCTTAGAATAATCAACTAATAGCAACTTTGAAAAGTGCTGAGTGATTATTGTCCATTTGCCATGCTATTTTAATCTTCGATATCGGTGCTCTCTCTCTTTCTTTTAAGTTGTTTTTACATGTTATCTTCACTTTCAGATACCCACTGAATTTGTTTTTATTTTTCAAGACCTCTGATATCAAAAATTATTAAGACTGTTTTCATTCTTTAGATGATGATAATAACCAGGGCTTTTTTTGTCACAGAACACCCAGAACGGAGTTCTGGCACCTTTTTTGGATGGAACCTTGTAGGGTAGGCAAGGCGGGTTGTATGACTTGTGTGAGTTCCGGCATATTTTTTTTTCCAAAAAAAGCACTGATAATAACTAAACTATTCAGGAGAAAACCCCCCCCCCCCAAAGTAGCCATGAAAAGCTTCAGAAGGATCTCTTTAAACAGCATGGTCAAACATTGTCAAATAAGTATATCACACTGGGACTGTAGTGAATACTCAGTTGAGAAGTGTGTAGCAGTTGGAAATGCTATAGTAGGCATCATTAGGAACTGGAATAAAAATAGTATAACCAACACTGTTAATACTCTATGAAAAACCATGTAGAGTCCTGGTAAAGGGCAACATAGAGCCAGAAAAAGTGCAGAAGAAATTACTGAAAGGATCAGGGGACCTGAAATCCTGTTTTGTGAGAAAAAGGTACAACATTTTTGACCCTCAAGCTAACTGAGGCCGACATAGAGGTAGACCTTGATTTATGACTGCTATGGAGCCTATCCATTACGGTTCCAAGTTGTGACAGTCATAAAGTGGGTCTCCCCAAAGACTACCCCAATTGTATGTCCTTTTTTGCAGTGGTTATTAAGTAAATGCCACAGTTGTTAAGTGAACCAAGTCAAATTGTTCACTATGAATGCCAGTTTTCAGCAAAAGTGTCATAACACGTGGTCATGTGACCATGGAACACTGCACATGACTGTAAATGTGGACCGACTGCTGAAGGTACCAGATTCAGTCAGGTGACCCTGAGGGTAGGGGGTGGCCAATGGCTGTCAGAGCTTCAGAACCTGGCCATAAGTAGTTCTGGGGAGGTCCATTGTAACTTCAAATGGTCAGTCAGCGACTGTCGTAAATTGAGAACTATCTGTAACTCAGGTACATAAAATCACACATGGCATGGAGAAAGTGGACAGGGGGAAGATTTTCTCCTTTCCCCAAGAGCCTGGGAACTGAAATAGAATGAAGATGGCTGGAAAGAGATTTAGAGCAGACAAAGTAAATTACTTCCAACAGCTCCCAACTGATATAATGGCAATTAGCTTGGATGGCTATCAGAGAAGGCTGAAAGCTGAAGGAGAGACTTGAAGACTCAGGATTAATTTGGAGTCTTATATCTTAAATATAAGTGCAGGTGGATAACAGAGAGGTCTGCTTCCAATTCTGGTTTATGAGCACTCCAGAGCTACCTAGACTGGCACTATGAAAATCAAAATATGGGACTACTTATCCTGATTCAACCATGCTGCTCTTACATTAGGTAACACTTCATAACTTTGCCCAAGCTTAGGAAAAAACCAAGGTTAGTAATAACAGCATTAAGAGCAGTAAAAAGGGTACCAAATTGCAATAAAAAAACACACCCAACATTAAATCTGTTTGTTTCTGTATGTCTCGGTTTGATGGAAATCCATTTGCGCTTTAATAACACTAAATGGAATTCGAGGCAGGCAACCTTCACTTGATGGTTTTTTGCAATCCTACCGTTATTACAGAAACCAAAGTCTATATGCACCACTTGATAACTGAAATGTGTCTCAAACTACCAGTTTTCCTTTGCCTTTTCCTCCCCTCTTACATCCTGTTGCTCAGATGAGCAATTTTGGAAAGAGCATATCCATTGTTACTTTGTGCATATTGCAAAATTTATTCCTGGCACTTCATAAGTGATGTAATTTCAGGCTTTAGGCAGCATAAGTGGTAAAGAGAACCACAATAGACAGACAAACGGACAAAAAATTTAGTTTGGTCACTGACCAATAAAAAGAACATTCAATGAAACCACCAGGGCAAAACTATCCCACTAACAACAAGGGGGACTATTGGCAACTATTTGCAGGCGAAACCTACACATAATACAGGTAGTCCTCAACTTACGACCACAATGAAGCTCAAAATTTCTGTTGCTAAGCAAGAAAGCTATTGTGAGTTTTGCCCCCTTTTACGACCTTTTTTACCACAGCTATTAAGTGAATCACAGCAGTTGTAACCCGGTTGTTAAGTGAATCTGGCTTCCCCATTGACTTTGCTTGTCAGAAAGTCACATGACCTCGGGATGCTGCAACTGTTATAAATACATGCCAGTTGCCAAGTGTTCCAATTCTGATCACGTGACCGGGGGGGGGGATGCTGCAAGAGTCGTAAGTGTGAAAAATGGTCATGTCACTTTCTTCAGTGCCATCGTAAACTTCAAATGGTCACTCAGCAAGTGGTTGTAAGTCGAGGACTGCCTGTATTGCAAACTTTTGCTACTTTTATAAGAGTAATTTATTTTCATGGTTTAAGAGATAGAACAAATAAAAACCAACAGAGTGCCCTGTAAATTTGAGTAAAAGAGGGATAATCAATTGGTGGCGAATGTCACTTAGATCTGGCAATACAGAAGAGCATGAACTGTGGGTTTCTGTGATATCCATATTGCAGAGGCAATATCAGGTTTCATACGGGGTTTTTTCATATATTTCCCTTCCAGGAAGAGCATTAAATTGAACTAAAGATAAGGCTCTCCTGAATTTGGGAATTATCGTATGATAGAAATGTAAGTGTGGTTTAGTCACCAAAATTGGATTCCTTGCAATTATGCTGTGAGAGAAAGTAGCAATTTCTGTTTGACCTTCTATATCTAAGATCCTTTGTGCTTTAGTACTGAACTAGCTTGATCTGATTCTAAGGTTAAGATGGCATCGTTGGAGAAACCATAGAAGAAGCTCAGTTTTTTTAGGTTCGTCATTTCCCAGGAAGACTTGTAGTTTTCTTGCCAATTTTAGATGGGCCAGTCCACTTTTAACCAGTAGATAAAGATATTTATCCAGGTTCACTGCTTCCTGCTTCCTGTCACAGTGCTTCTGGAACACAGTGGAAGCTGCTTCACCTGGAAGCTGCTTCTTAGAAATTTTGTTTAAGAATCCTTTCTAAGGTGACTTATGTGACTTATGACTGTTTTCCACAGTTACAACCTTTGCAACATCCCCATGATCATGCAATAAAGATTCAGATGCTTGGCAACTGGTTCATTACTGTGTCTCAAGATCATGTTTGTTACCTTTTGTGACCTTTGGACAAGCAAAGTCACTGAGGAAGCCAGATTCACTTAACAACTGTGGCAAAAAAAAAAAAAAATTGGACAAAACTCACTTAACAACAGAAATTTTAGGCTCAATTGTGATCGTAAGTTGAGGGCTACCTGTACTAAGTTCTCATCAAGATACGCAGCTAAAATGAATAAGCACATTTTTTTTTTCCCTTCAGGAATTTACTTAACAGAATGGGGACGTATGTTTTAATCAATGGAGAGAGATGCATACAGCACGGTGGCTAGACAAACCCAGCGTCTCTCGTTTTATTTCCAACTTTTAAAAATTTGCATAAAATTGATGTGAATCCGGGGCTGCTAGGAGATCATGCTGTGCTTCTGAGAAGATATTGGCATCATTTCCATGGTGATAATAGAAAAGAACCAGCTTGAAGGTGATCCAGTAGACGGAGATCTCAAAATGACTCAGAAAAAAAGTCAGACGTGGCAATTTTCTCCAAGTGTACAATTTTTATCATCTGGGTTATTTTTGTTATGAAATACTAATATAACGGCAGATATAAACTGTTTATATACATTTCTCTATATGCGTGAATACAGTTCTCCCCTCTGGAAAAGCAAAATGTTCCACGAGATAACAAAAGCCAGTAATATTTATATATCCCCCTTTATTTCTTTTATTCATCATTTCCACAATCCTGCTTTTTGCACTTCTGTTCTACCTCAGGTACACGTAACACTACCTCAGACAGATCCAGTGTGTCCAGTCTTCTTCTACAGTTGGTGTTGGAAATTAGATCAAAATAAATCCACTTTTTGCCTCTCACTACTTATAAACACATTGTAAGAGAGTGCAGGATTGTTGTATCTACTTTGGGTTAAACTATTACTCCTTCTTACCTGTTTGTACTCAGACTCTCTTCCAACTAGGACCTGCAGAATGTAGTTCACAGAGTCTCCCTTCATTGGGGGTGCGGTTTCCCAAGCAATTTCACAGGTGTTTCCTTCTAACTGTCTCACTCGAGGTGCTATTAAAAAAAAAAAAGGTTGACCACATATCAATTGGCATGTGAAGAAGGAAGGCGCCCTTCTCATTTTTCTTCTTTCAATACTGATTTTTATGTGTTTTAAAAATTCAGAATTTCAACTGGGAATGTTATCACTGACAGATAAGGTGCAGTGAATGTGATGGAATGCGATTCATCTAGCCCTGGATATTTAAAGTAAGTGGCATTCTCTAGCAATTTTCTTTCTGTTTCAAACTTCAATTTTTCTCAGCCAACGATAAAATAGCAATTCAATAGTTCTGCCCTTTTCTTGTTAGTAGTGTACTGCCATCTTCAGTGGGCAGCCGATATACTGAAGCTTATTTCTTTTTATTTAGGAAGAAGACTTTTCAGTTGTTCTGACCAATCTTAGTTCATTCTAAACTTCACCTTCCTGTTTACAGTTTTGAGCTATTAGTCTGTACTCTTCTTTTAGTATTCTACACATGTTCCTTTCCCCCCCAGAATTTTACTAAGCTTAAGCTGTTCTCTATTTTAACACACACACACACACACACACAGAGAGAGAGAGAGAGACAGAGACAGAGAGACAGAGAGAAGTTCCACAGAAGCTTCTTTTTCCATCAGCTTCTCATCCTATATAGAATCCTACTTATCATTGCTCTGGACTTATTAAAAACTGTTCTTTCTCTTGATCCAGGCAAAATTATAGCTGATGCAGCAACCAAAGGTGCCTACAGGTCTTTCTTGCTGGTTCTCCTTCATGTAGTATTAGCTGTCTTCTTAATTTCCAGGCCTGAGAACATATTATCCTAGTATTAATTTCTCCAGCTGTGCACTTCTTTAGGCAAAGAAGAATGTGTATCTGTGTGTCACTACTGCCATACATATTTACCGCATCAACAAATCTGATCCAAGAGAACAGATGCAATGAGTGGGATGTTGATTAAATATGAGCATTTTCTAGGAAATGATAAAATGATAAATGATACAATGATAAAGGCAAAAGGAAGACATAAGTAAACTAGACAACTTGTGCCCCTTTGGGTCATTGTTTCAGAGACATTTCCTTGCCTAAACAGAGAAGCAGAATGGCCCAAAAAGTAGTGGGAGCAGGAACGATTTCTAATTTCCTGCTGGCTTCCCCATTGAATTTCCTTGTGGGAAGATGGCAGGAAGCATAAAAAATCTTCCTTCCTTCCTTCCTTCCTTCCTTCCTTCCTTCCTTCCTTCCTTCCTTCCTTCCTTCCTTCCTTCCTTCCTTCCTTCCTTCCTTCCTTCCTCCCTCCCTCCCTCCCTCCCTCCTTCCCTCCCTCCCTCCCTCCCTCTTCCCCGTTTATTTTGTGAGAAGCTTGCAGGGAGAAAGTCAATAGGGAAGACAGCACGAAGTTGCAAGTCCAAGGCCAGCAGGCAGATCAGTGAGGGAGTGAGGATCAGGAATGGTACATGGGAGTCTATGAGAGGTGTTATTGGAGTTGGGAGGGGTGTGTTTGTCTGTGTGCCAAACACTGTATGGATTGGGGAAGCCATGTGAGTGGGCAACATAACTCAGGAAGGTATCCAGGGATGCCTGAGAGGTGCTCTGCTAGTTGGGTGGGGTTTGCAGGGGAGGGGGCGCAGGTCAACAAGATTGCACAGGGGTCAAGTATGTGTCTAAGAGATACTGTGCAGGTCAGGTAGGGTGCATGATGGGGCTGGTGCAGGTCATGAAAGCATGGGGGTTGCATGAGTATGCAAGAGCGGCTATACTGGTTGGGGGCGGCACATGGGGTGGTGGCATGGGTTGGGAAGGGTTCCTAGGGGTGCTTGGAAATGCACAAAAAGGTACTGTGCTGATCAGGAAAGGTGCACAGGAGGGCTCAGGTCAGCAAGGGCGCATGGAAGTGCCCAAGAGGTGCCGCATGGAAGGGGCCCAGCTTAGAAAAAGTGCATGGAATGTGCAAGAGGTGCTTTGAGGGTCAGGGAAGACATATGGAGGAGAGATGTTAATTAGGGAAGATGCATGGGAATGCTCTGTGGGTGGGGAGGTGGCATGGTTGGAGAAGGCATGTGCGGGGGACAGCATGGTGTGCCTGAGTTCTTTTCCCCCTGTTCCTCCCTTTTTCCCTCCCTCCCTCCCTCCCTTCCTTCTCCTTTGCCCTCCCTTCTAGCAGGTAGTAAGTGGCTACTGTTGAATGGGGGAGGGAGCGAGGGATTGTGAGTCTGGCTGGGAAAACTGTCACAAATGTTGAAAATGAAGATCATGTGACTGCAGCAGCAGCCCAGCAGTACAGCAGCAACCAGTAGCACTGAAGCAGCCACAGCTTCCCAATTTTCATTCCTTTGGGACTCATGGCTCCTGAATTTTGGACATATTCTATAAGTTAGCCCATTTAAGATACTGGTTCCAAAATCGCTGCCCTATAATGCACAGTTTTGCTCAGTTAAAGGTTATAGTAAGAGCTTTATTAGTATATAAATAAGGCAAATAAAAGAAGGCAAAAAGGCATACACATGGATGGACCTGAAAGAAATATACATGATTGGAATGGTAAGGAGTTATGGAAATAGAAATAGAAACAAGAGTTTGAAGCGCCTAGAAGATAAGGTAATGTATTATTCAATTTATCTATCAACCATCTTCCTCTATTGCTATTTTGTTCTTAGAAAAGTGAAAAACAATAGAGGAACAAGTAGGCAAATAACAAAGAATCAAGCTGCAAAGAAGGAAAACATGTTGATTGTTGAAGAATTTAGTTTTCCTTGCAGTATCAACCAGATAAGAATTGGTTAAACATACGATATTCTGGTGGATTTATTGCTCCACCAGGTGGCAAAAAACTATTTTTAATACAAGAGACAAACAATTTTCTGAAGCGTATCTATTTGAGGCAGTCCCTACCTAACATCCTTGGGGAAAAAGTCATCTTCCATCAGTTAAAATCCATCATATGTCATTTATCAGCTAAAAGAATCTCATCTATCAAAAATATACAAAGCTTTCAGCAATAGTCAACTATAGTCAAGCATCAGTTCCCACAATCAATGTTCATTTAATGGTAGATTTCAAATGGGAAATGAGCAAAAAAGATCCAAATTCAATATTAGGATGGGTTCCATAATCTGGAAAACTAGTACAAATCACGCCAATTGAACTGAACGCCCAACAGAGGATAGATGTTTTCTACCCGCTTTTGAGAATAAATTTTAAAAAGAGAGAAGGAATTCCATACAAGAAGATTGAGCAAAGTTGTTGTACCTAAAAGGCATACAGGTAGTCCTCGACTTATAATCATTCATTTAGTGATCAAAGTTACAAGAACATTTAAAAAAGTGACCTACAATTGATCCTCACAGCATCCTATGGTTATGCAGTCAAAATCTGGGCACTCGGCAACCGGCATGTATTTACCACGGTTGCAGCGTCCCGGGTCACACTTGCCATTTGGCACTTTACCAACTGACTTCCAACAAACCAAGTCAATGGGGGAAGTTGGATTCATTTAACGACCATATGATTCACCCAACACCTGCAGTAATTTACTTAACAACTGGGACAAAAAGGTTGTAAAACTGGGTGCCTGCTCTTACAACTGTCTTGCTTAGCAATGGAGATTCTGGTCCCAGTAGTGGGTATAAACTGAGGACTACTTGGGCCTAATTTCAATCAGGCATCTCTAGAATCAATTCCTAGAGCCTAATTTCTCCTTTTTGGAAAGAATTCTCACGATGGTCCAACGGAGACAATACAGATCTAGGCTTATGACAAACTCGGTACAGGGTTATCCTTGACTTGCGACTACAATCGGGGCCAGAATTTCCACTGCTAAGCAGAGCAATTGTTGCTGGGTGAGATGTACCTGTGTTTAGGACCGTTTTTGCCATGGTTGTTAAATGAATCACTGCAGCTGTTAAGTGAATCCAGCTTCCCCCATTTGCTTTGCTCGTCCTCTGGGAAGGTTGCAAATGGTGATCTCATGACTCTGAGATGCTGCAACCATCGTAAATATATCTCAGTTGCCAAGTAACCAGATTTTGATCCCGTGACCATAGGAAAGCTGCAAACGATCGTTTTAGTCTAGTTGTAACTTTGAACGGTTGCTGAATGAATGGTTGTAAGGACTATCTGTGCATTGTTCTAGGAGGAAAAGTGATTGGAGGGGAGATTTATGTCTACTAAATGTTCCGTCCTCCCACCCCACCCCACCCCACCAAAATCAGGAGGTGTATCTTACTTACCTTTAATGACAGGGGGGATGGATTTAGTTGTACTGAAGCTAAACACTTCTGAGAAAGGCCCTTCCCCAGCACCATTTACAGCTTGTATTCTAAACATGTAGCAGGTATATTCCGTCAGCCGCTGTACCTTGTAAGTATGACTAGGTCCCCTATAGATTGAAATAAACCTAAAAAAGGAGAGAAGTACAAATTTGTTGTTATTTGTTTACAATGTTTTCATTGATGGGTTGTCTGTTGCCTCAGAGACAAAAGGTTAATGATATCTTAATCTAGAAGCTCAGGTTCAAGTTCTCTAGAAGATGGATTTATCACAGTATTTGCATGGTTTTGACCCCAAACATACTATAAAATCTATATTAGAATTTCCCTCTAAATCTTAACAAAATACAGGTAGTCCTCAACTTATGGCCACAACTGAGCCCAAAATTTTCATTGCTAAGACAGATGTTAATTTTGAGTCTTGCATTTATGATGCAGTTGTTAAGTTAGTAAACACCGTTGTTAAGTAAATCTGGCTTTCCTATTGACTTTGCTTGTCCAAAGGTCATAAAAGAGGAATGCATGACCCTGGGACACTGCAACCCTCATAAATATGAACCAACTGCCAAGAATTTGAATTTTGATCACGTGACCTTTGATCACTTATGACCGTTTTTTACACTTATGAAAGTTTGCAAAGGGGTGTTTTTGCTAAAACCCATAAGCCGTGGTTTTCAGGAAAAATTGTGACCACCTGACTCTGGGGCACTGTCATAAATATAGGCGAACTGTCAAGCAGTCAAATTCAGTCACATGACTGTGGGAGCGAGCAGTGTCAGAACTTCAGAACTGGATCATAAATACCTTTTTTGGGGGGTTGTCATTTTATTCAGTTTATTTTAAAAAATGATTTGAGCCATGCTTAAAATTATTGCACCCTTATTCTGTTGCAGTTGATTTCATTCAGCATAGATTCTATTCCAGTTGGCTTTATTTTGATTTTATTAGGTGTTGTCTTTATTCCTATTTTGTTTTGTATTAAGTTAAATTGATTTGCCTTTTATGCAGAATTTTAGCTTTTGGCCCTGGAAGATCAAAAAATAAACACATGGACATGGCCCTGTGCATCCTTTTATGTGAGATACGCACAGCCATTAACCAGGAGAGTATAAGGTTCAAAATCTATTGGAACTCAATGATTTCTCTCTCTCCTAACCAGATCATTTTCTACCATTTTTGGAATGTTACTCAGTGTTTTGACTTGGCAATCAGATGTTTTTGCTGCATGGGTAGCCGGTGAATTGAATTTTCGGTATTTCTAATTAGCAACAGCAGGAGCATAACACCATGCAGTCAATGAATACTAATGTTTCTCAGAATAAATCTGGAATTATTATTTTAGTTTCTTTTTAATCTGCCACCAAGGACAGCCACATGGGATAGTGAAAATTACCGTTTTTTTGCAACAAAAGTTGGCAAAACAGTGAGGGGGGTAATGATTACGCATGGAGATGTTAAGGAATTCAGAAAGTTATAGTATTAGAGATTGATGTGTAGATGTGATTTTTTCCCTAATTTGTTTTTAGAACTTTGATGTTATATATGGACAGTGGACAAATGGCTGCAAAAGTTAAATGGAGTTAGCACAATTAAGGAGTAAAGAACACAATTAATTTTGTTTCTTCTTGCAAACTGCTTTTGGACTTAGTGCTTGAGGTGGAAAAAAATGAAACTTTGCTTTTGGGTTTTACTGATTAGATAGGTTTGGTGTTATAGAAATGGCTGGTATATACTATTATATAAAAGTAAAAAGCTGAGGTTTCATGTTATTATCTTAATCTACTGTACTAAAAGGCAGAGGCGTAGCGTGGGGGGTGCAGGGGGGGCCGGCCACACCGGGCGCAACATCTGGGGGGGCGCGCTCGCACTCGCAGCTCTCTGCCCCTGCCTGGCTCACTCACTCTCTCTGCAGTGCTGGCTGTGCGAATCCGATCCGAGCCGCCGCCCACTGTGGAGGGGGCGCACGCAAATTACTTGCCTTGCCCCGGGTGCTGACAACCCACGCTACGCCACTGCTAAAAGGAGTCAGAAGTCAATGCTTCCCCCCCCCTAATCTAATTTTTTCACTTCCCCTTTTTCTCCCTTATTTTACTTTCATCTTTCTATATATTTTTGTATTTTATGCTTTGTAAAATCAATACAATTCTGAATCACAATGGGCAGATGTGACAAGATGGTGGAGAGAAAGAAGAGAAGATTAAGAGTTGTGTTTGTTGGGAAACCTTACGGCAAGAAGCAGGAGAATGTAGTGTGCTGGCATTGTGCAGAGAATGCTGATTGTGGAGGGTTTAAACTAACACAATTTAGTGGTGGCGCAGAGTTTTCCTGGACATGAGTAATTTATCTGGATCCCAGTTGGAGGAGACTTCAATCTACTGTCACTGGGCTGGATTGGGAAGAAGTCACAGTGATTTCTTCCTTTTTTTAAAAAGAAAACTTTATTAGATTTTTCAGATAAAGAGATAAAAACAAACAGCACCTAATCATTAACACAGAAGAAAGAAAAAGGTAAACAATGAAAAAGAAAGAAGACAAAACTGAAGAAAGCAAAGAAATGACTCCCAACTTTCTTTTTGCAAACAGCAATGGAATTCTCATTTAAGCGCAAAATCACTAGAGGGAAGTTCTTGTTGTTTAATTTTTTTTCATCTTGCTTTGACCTTATCTAAATATTTCTTTAAAATATGGGTGCTGTGAACAGTCTGAAACGGGAATACTTCTCTCCTGGAATATACATTAGTAAACACTACAAAGCAGCTAAGATATAATCCTATCTCACAAGCATTAATAAATCAAGATGAGTTTCTTCTGTTCAACCATGTGAATAAGAAAATAACAATATTATTCTGTAGTAAAATCTAGGAACTAGAAAAATGTGCAGTCTGGATTTGTTACTGATGTTCAAGACGACAATGTTTCTGCCTGAAGGCAGGACAAGAAGCAACGGGTGGAAACTAACCAAAGAGAGAAGCAACATAGAACTAAGGAGAAAGTTCCTGACAGTTAGAACAATTAACCAGTGGAACAACCTGCCTCCAGAAGTGGTGAATGCGCCAACACTGGAAGTTTTTAAGTTTTTGGACAACCATTTGTCCGAAATGGTATAGGGTTTCCTGCCTCAGCAGGAGGTTGGACTAGATGACCTCCGAGGTCCCTTCCAACTTTATCATTATTATTAAGGCATGTTTGCTATTCTTTAAACAGTGGACAATTTGCTTATTTTTTTATTGTGACATTTTAATTTTAATTGTTTTAAATTGGTGCACTGAATCTCTATTTTGGGACTCTTTAATATAAAAAAGATGATTAGAAATTATATATACATGCACAAATGCTCCCAATACTATAATAGATAGATTCTTTCGTCTTTGTCATATTTTATGATCATTGGCCAACAAATCATCGTTTTCCTCATAAAATGTATTAATATAAATAAAAACAATTTTATACAAGTAGAAGATTGTTTCCCACAGCAAGATTTCCATGTATACTAATGCATTCTGGCTTTTCTTTATTGTGTTCTAATTGTTTGCTTTCAATTTGTTTTTATTATTGCTTGCATCCATTTAGCTGTTTCGAGGAAATTCATTTAACTTGCCAGGTATACAGTGCAACTCTGATCTTCATTTTTTAAACTTGCTTAGAGCATTCAAAAGCATCTGTTTGATCACTGTTGAAAATATTATGCTAGCCTGTGGCTTAGCAATCTGTTATAGCAGATCTGCCCCAGTACGTTAATACTTACAATTGCAGTCATTTTGGAAGCTAGGATTAATATCTGGAGATAATGTCAACCCTTGATATTGTGGGAAAGTTTTGTAGGTTTCATGACTGTGAGACCAATGTTGGTGGAAAATAAAACTCATGGTAGGACCAGGTTCTGAACCCAATAAGATAGGCCAGGTACGTGAATGGACTCTACAGGAAGACTGTATTTTACTGAGATAGACTATAGTAACATAATTTTACAAGCCTGAGCATATTTGTTCCTCTCCCTCTTTGGAAAACACTTTTACATTTTTGCCAAGAAGGTATAGATGTATACATCCATCTATACATTTACAGACATTTAGCCTTGCAAATAATGTTCAAAGCATGGATGATTGATGGGGGACACAGATGTAAGATCAATGTAAGGAAGAAGTTTAGTATATTTAAACAGACATAAACCTGAGAAGCTATGGAAAGAGATAAGAGCCATTGTTAAAATTAAAAAAAAATGTTCCCAAAATTCAAAGAGGAAAAGATCCAGGTACCAGAAGATAAATGTATCTGGCAACAAGAAGGATATATGGACACAGACTTCCAATAACAAGCAAGAAAAGGTAACACAAATAACATTATGGCACAAGAAGCAATAGATAGAAACTGATCAAGAAAAGGACCAGCCTAGAGCTAAGGAGAAATTTCCTGACAGTGAGAACAATTAATCAGTTGAACAACTTGACTCCAGAAGTTATGGGTGCTCCAACACTTGATGTTTTTAAGAAGAGATCGGACAGCGATTTGTCTGAAATGTTATAGGGTCTCCTGCTTGAGCAGGGGGGGTTCAACTAGAGCAGGGCTTTTCAACCAGTGGTACGGGTACCACCTATGGTACATTGGCACCTGGCAGGTGGTATGCGACCATCCTAGAAAAGTGGTAGTGGGGGAGGGGAATGAGCTGAACTGGTGGCAGCACCACACAAGCCTGAGCGAGAGATGGCTGGAGCTGCAGGGTTGTCAGGGCTCAGTGGAAGCACGAGGATCAGTGCCAGGCTCCAGCTGGAGCTCGGCGCTGATCCTGGTGCTTCTGCTGAGCCCTAAAGAAGCACCAATCAGCTGGAATGTTGCAGCATCTCCAAGGTCTTGTGATTTACATTCAGATGTGCGGCAACTGATTCATATTTATGACGGTCACAGTGTCCCAGCAGATGGGAATACAAACCAAACACCCCCACCCCACCCCCGCTGCCAATCCTCAACAGAAATGCTCACAACAATGAAATAGGAGGAAGAGCAATCAAGCAATGAGCAGGAATAAAATTATGATTTCCTTTATTTGTGATGTACAATTTACTTATTTATTTCCTTTGGAGGGAAGCTTCTTCTTCCACTACTACCAATCTGGCTTTAAAACAAATACACT